TGTGTCAGAAGACAATTTCCTGATTAAAAAAAAAAACATGAAAAAGCAACAGGGTGGTTAGCTATATTTCTAATGACTAACACGGAAGAAATCACCACTAACTTGAGACTTTCAGGCTACTCGGATTAGAGGGTTTAAGGGAACTTGCGCACGATCATATCCAGGTTCCAGAAATTTGGAGGAAGCAGATTACTCATGGAATGGCATTAAGACATGGAAGTGAGATGGACGCAAAGCATGCAGTTTTCTATGCATCRCATCCAGAGTTATTACAAAAGCACCAGCAAATCCGAGCGACTCCCCCAGCCCCCAAAGCAAAAGCAGTGCCAGAATCATGTTTTTCTGCAACCGAGTTAGGACTGTCTGTAACTCATTCCCAAATCCTCCGTCTCACTCAGGAGTATTTTCTCCAGTGATAAGGCTTCATCAGGAAACACAGCTGGATGGAGGAAGGAAATTCTGAGAAGCAAAAAAAAAAAAAAAGAAATAGTGGGGGTTCCAGGAAGTTCAACCAGATAGGAACTAATGGAATTTGTTTTTCTGTCTCCCCAGCTCCCAGTGTTCCTAAGCAAGTGAGAAAACTAGAGGGAAAGTTTGTGGGGGGAAATTCTGGCAGATCTTACCCTGCAAAACAGGTCCCCACTGCAGCTCTCCTGAGAGCATCATAATTACAATTCAATATTTTCRATCACTTTCTCTGGGAAAAACTGCAGACGTTTCCAATTTAGGTCCAATCCTAAACCCAGCTATTGTTTTCTCCACACCCTCCTTTTTTTTTTTATTTTTTTTTTTTTTTAGAAAGGCTCCTGTCTAGTTTATTAAGGAGGTTTTACTTGGAAATATGATTTATTAAAAAAAATGTTATTTTATGTTTATTAAAAAAAAAAAAGTTACTTTATGGGGATCCCGAGGGGTCCCTTCCAACCCCAGCCATTCTGGGATTCTGTGTGTATAATCCAAATTTCAACATTCCCACTTACTGCACAGGTGTTGGTGTGACACAGAGAACAGATCCATCAGCAAGACCAGTTTTGGGCTACTGAGTAGTTAAAACGTGAGTCCAAACCCAGCTCTCCAGTTAAGACAGATCAGCTTGAACTCGCACAAAAAGTTTCCTGCCCAAGTTTCTGCATTTCATTGGTCAAAACCATTAAGAGACTGCTGATGATCATGCTAGGAAAGACTGCACATGACACTAAACCTTGTCTCTCTGACATATCCAATTTGCAGAGACACCATTTATCACAACAGCCACTCAGTAGGAATGTATTTTTGAGATGATACTACTGCCAGTATCTCCTACAAGTTAGGCCATTCATACCTATGGAAAAGTTCAAAAGCAGAGGATGAAGTAGCTCTTATAAAGTAAGAAAAGCCTCATAATGCTCACAGATGACAAATTCGGCCTTAATTTCATGAGACAGTGACATACATACTTGAATGCATGTACGTATCTCTAAAAGAGATGCCTAGAGAACTGCATCTCTTCACCCAAATGTTCACCCAAACAAGTCCATTTGTAGTACAAGCATTTTGCTATTCCAAAATATTCCCTACTCCTTAAGCCATCTCTTCTATCCACCCACTTAATCTTGTTATAGGTTTAAACTGGCRGTTTTCAAGGCAGGGAGATACTCAAAACCCCGATGGAGAAGGCCCCGAACAACCTGCTTTAGTTGACCCTAATTTGAGCAGCRGAATTGGACTAGAAACCTCCAGGGATCCCTCCCATCTCCGCAAATCCGTGAATGTATGAAAAGCAGTTCCTGCTTTTTTGCATTGATTTATACTCAGTATAGTCCAATACATAGCAGAATTTCCATACAACTGTCACTGAGAATGGAACTAGATTCCTTTACAAAAAGAGGTTTCATGCTCCTGGGGGCAATGCAAGCATCCCTGCTGCAACAGAGCTAGAAAAATGGTATTTATTGATAACAGCATCATATTCTCGCACATACACAAGTAGGRAAGTTGTCCCCATGTGGAACAGTCTAGAATTACTGCTAGCAGCTGCAGGAGCTGTAGTTGAAAGGAACTRCAGACTACCCCAGCATGAAGCTCTGATGGACAGCAGGGCTCTTCCTATGTTATCTCTACACAGGAACAGATAGGAAAAGCTTCCAGGAGAATGACAGCACCTTCCTGCTCTTGCACTGTGCTCCCTGCCACAGCGGGCAAATGCCCAGTGCCTGGGGATTTCAAAACCAAATGCAAATAAACACCACGAACAGCCCTGCAAGTCCTCGTGGGGCAGTTAGTGCCACCCTGAGCACCAGGCTGTGCATAGCAGAAAGGGTAGGGAGAGTTCATGGGTGCAATGAAAGGAAATTGCTCACAGCTGAAGGGGCTGAGCAATGCGGTTTTCTTCTACAGATCTCTGATCCATGAGAAAAAGGGGGGAAAAGAGGACAAAAAAAGAGAGGAATAAAAAGGAAGAGAGAAAAAAGAATAGAAAAAAAAGATGAGAAAGGAGGAAAGAGGAATGGAGGAGAAGGAAGGAGAGGGGAGAAGCTGAGGAAGGAAAAAGAATCACTGTGCTCCTGACTTTCTCTCCTGATAGCTGCTTAGCAGCAGATGGTATCCAGAAGATGACAAGGCAGCTCCAAGCTGTCTCACCTGTGTTTSCACGTGGAAATCTAGGCACTGACTGGGGAACCGTATGTGACTTTTTGCCAGAACTTGAAACCATCACCTTAATGTTCRGTTAGGGAATGAGAAAAATCGGCACCTAAACCTTCAGCCACTGGACTTGTCAATGAATTAGCAAAATCCTGAACAAATTGTTATGTGTTTCACAGGCATGAGCAGGCTCGAGCACACACACAATCTGCAGTATCCTTTATCACCAGACGAATCAATGTTCTGCAGTATCAAGTCCCTGAAGACACAGTAGCACTTCCCAAACCTTTCTGTAGTTTCAAAAGATGGGGAGATTCAGAGAAACTAAGAGCTATTATTTTGACAGCTTATCGGTGGTCAAAATTATGCTCGAACCATAGTTTTGTCTCCTACTGATYTGAATCAAATCCCATCTTGTCTTGCTTCATATCGATCTGGTAGTAAGMGAACTGAGAAGTAGATCCATGGTCATTTTGGCTGATGAGAAACATTGATCAAGGGGAGTCTGTTGGTGAAATCTTTCACAGTATTTAAGACCTGTGATAGCTCCTAGACTCCAAGTCCCCAAATGCCTATTTCATGACAGGAATAAGTTAGGACTGGTTTGGTTGGGGCTGATGGCCTCTTCCCAAGCTCTTACCTTTCAAGCCAAAGCATGTGACTTGCAACAAAGGTTCRCACTGTTACCCACAGTGGCAGACAAGACAGGACAGCTCTTCATTTGTCTACGTCTCTTTCAGCCTCGTGGTTTAATTAACTCTAACTGTATTTTTGGTGTTTAGACAACAGTTCTTAAGAAAAAAAATTTTTCCCTATCCTACTAACAATTTACAAACTTATGACACATTCACTGCAATTCTTGCACTACAAGGGATAGTGGCAGGATCCATTCTGTCAAAAAGTATAATCCAAGACATCCTACCAAAATATTTTGCGTTTTGTATTAATAAATCTTTCCTATGAAGAATTCCTAGTGAATCACACTTTGTTCTTTGCAGCCTCCTTTGCCATTCCAGCGGCATTTAGCCTACAAAACATTCTACRACTTTTGCTACTGCCCAGGATTTCTTGGAACATTCTCTTCCCATCTCTTGTGGGTTAGGGGTATTAGAGGGCAGACCAACATGAGTGATATTGTGGGTGTCTGCTACAGACTGCCTGATTAGTAAGAAGCGGATAATGCTTCAGACAACCGCAAGAAGCCTCGTATTTGTGAATTCCTCAGGGGGACTTCAACCACCTTAAGGGTTGCTGAAGGGACAACTTGCAGGGCACRGGCAATCCAGAAGGTCTCTGAAGGGTGTTGATGATAACCTCCTGAAACGTGTGATCAAGGTGAGGTATTTTGCTGGGCCTCAGACTCACAAACACAGAAGAACCATCAGGCATGTAAAGTTTGGGGCTGATTAAGCTACCAGAGCACGTGACATGTGAGAAAAAAAAATGAGAGAGCTGAAACTGTTCAGAAGGCTTTGGGGGAATCCTATCAATGTGTATAAATATTTGTCCAGGGATATTGTGGAGGTATCTGCACCCTTGCAGATACTTAAACCCCAACTGGACCGTGTCCTGAACAACTTGCTCTAGTTGCCCCTGGTTTTAGCAAGTGTGTTGGACAAGAAGATCTCCAGAGAAGATCTCGCATCTTCTGAGATTCGGTGAAGTTAGATAATCATTTTTAAGAGTACTGTACAATGAGAACTGTGTTGAGAACACAGCACAGCTTTCAGAAATTTCCACTCCAGATTCAGGCTGTGTCGTTTCCTAAGACTCCAGATTCGGGCTGTATCTTTGCCTAATCTCTGCAAGCACAAACTACTCAAAAAATGCTACTGCAAAGTACTGATCTGTTCACATATAAACTTGGGGAATGCATCTTTTAATTTAACGTTTGTTGCTGTTCAGCTCATCTTTGAATCTTTTGTTCAACAATGAACAAGTCTTTGAAGCTGCTCAGCCTTCCCCAGACCTTGTGAAAATAAGAGCTGTGTGCTGGGCCTTGTCTAGTTGCTGCTGAATGTCAAATTCTGCACTTGTAATASTTATGGTACTTTTTCAGATCAATAAAACTTATCCAATTTGCAATGTATATTACCAAAAGTATAAAATTAAAATGATGGAGATTCCCAATTGATCCAAAGAAGTTCYATCACAGAAGTTGATAGAAACGTTTCTTAAATGCACTCTTATTTTCTAAGAGCAGAGAGCACAGCCCTCTATCTGTAGCCTTCACACRGAAACAATGAATTCAAATGGAGGAGATTCCTTGTTTTTGATGAGTGTATTATAATCTTATTAGCAGAAAGACATGCAAATATGTTCTTGTTAAAATGGAAAACATGCAAACGCTCAGGAGAAAGGTGAAGGCTCTTGTTTACCTGTGCCTTCACACTCTTCTGTCGCTTCCCAAAAATGCAGGACAGATCGTCTTCACTGCGGGAAGAGAGATCCTTACCTATGGAGGTAAGGGAAGGTAAAGCATATCTTCACATCTGATGACAGGTTAATTTAGTAACAGAAACTATGAGCGACTAAAATAGGAAAAAAATATATTTTGGGGGGTGTAAAAGGAGGAGAATGTTAAAGATATGCAAGGAAGGCTGTCCCTATGCAGTATAAGAAATGTATGGCTCCACTAAGCAGTTGGAAATATGTTGCAAAAAAGGCTGGTGAGGGGATAGCCACAGTTTGCTCATGTCTCTCCACAGGGAAACCTGTAACAAGTCCTTGTTTTCCCCTACCTGACCCTGTAATTGGCAGAGCAAACGAGAGAAGCAGCCTGCACTGCTCTAGAGGGAAAGAAAAGCTGTAACTCCCTATACGCAGGAAGAGTTCAGGAAGAAACTGCATGTCTTGGGGCTCTCATGAGACTTTCCTTATCTCTGACAAGGTTACTCTCCTCCAGATAGCAAAAAAAAAAAAATTATCTTTGCTCAGTGGGGACTTTCCTTTCATTCACGATACTGCTTCTTTTCAGAAACTCACAAAACTCACATCTCTGAAACACACAGGGTTATCCTGGCCAAAATAATTTCCAGGGTGAAACTGATTTTCTCGGATTATTATTCCTGTCTCGCTGCTGTGTAGCTGGTCAAACACCAGACATGGAGCTGGGGGAGGGAAGGAAAAGAGCGTGGCATTATATTCTGAGATGTCACCAGAAGTTGTGTTGGGCCCACAGTGCAAAAAGACCACAAAACACAGTGCAATATTTAGTTAAAAAATAATTAGAAACAAAACTCATCAAAAGGTAAAGAAACAGAAAAAAAAATACCATAGCCCAGCCAGGCCAACTGATTATCACCCAAGGAGGCTGCTTGGATTTTATCTTATTCCACTAGATTGTCCAGTTTCAAAATCATTAGACTCATATCCAGCCTAAGCATCAGTAATGGATATAAGAATAAAAATCTGGCTAGTCCACCTGKTTTTTTTTCCTTTTTTCTTTTCAGAATCCTTAATGCCCAGCAGACTTAAGGGAGAACTCTTATCCAAATTTCTGATGTCTCACTGCAGCAGCCTCTATGAGATGTCCGTACCCAGGACATGGTTGGTATCTGCTGTTTTCACCTTTATCTTGGCCATGGCTTGGAACATGAGGATTTCATTCCTGCTACACCTCTTTTCATTCATTTCATGCTYGCTTTGCATGCTTTGATTCATTTATTTATTGAATATAATCCTCTTTTTGCGTTCTTTAACAGAAATGCYGTGCTGACTGTCCAGATCTTTGGCAGCATCACAGGGAAAAGCAGTTTTGAATAGCAGAAGCTACCAGAAAAGCAGTTGAAATCAGCATCTTTTATCAGCGCAGATTCACGAGATCCCCCTGTGAGTGCAAAGACTATGTGTGGCGCCCATGTTCCTCCAGCAGCAAGGAYGCAAAACAGCACCAGGAACGGAAACTGTATTTTTTATCCTTGCTGCTCCCTTCTCCCGCTTTTGTGTTGAACTTGTCTTGTTTAGTCTGCAAGGAAGCAGGATTGGACTTCAACAGCATGAGCCGCAACAACAACATTAGCTTTTCTCAAACAACTTTTCCTCTCTCCCTGAAAAAGGCCAATTTCCCTGTTTTGCACCACTGAGGCTACAGTCAAACAGGGACCTACCTTATAGAAACACTGCAGCCAARCAAATAGGGGACATTGTTAAGATGAAAGCCTTGCTCCATATTTTACATGCTCAAACCACAGTTTTTTCTTGTCTATATTTAGTAAAAGGTTAATTCCAAATCAAAATAAATCCTCCTTGCTACCACCTCAAACAGGCCATGGTCTCCGTACTCAAAACCCTGAACCAATTTAATTGTTTAATGTTGCAAAGTGGCAGGGTCATGTTAACATCTTTAATTCTCTAGGTTCAATTATTTCATTAAAAAAAAAACAAGCCTCAATACCAGAATTTGGCCTCTATTCAGAAGTAAATTACCTCTTTTTCAGCAGAGGTATTTGCTATCGGAAAACATTAAATAGAACTTTAGGCTTAATAAATTAGCCATGGTGGAAAATAGCACGGCTGTGATCCTCTCCACATAGAGAAAAACACATATACACATCAYGCGTACGTGGTTGTGTGACATGGGAACACAACCAGCAGAGAAACAGTGTGATTGAACAACTGTTAAAGGCAAAAATCAGGGAYAGCTGATTCAGCCATCTTTGTAAGAAATAAAACACAGAATTCCAGGAGTTCTTGATATAGTTTTTTGGTGGCTACTGACTGCTGTCCTAATTCACCCGGTAAATCATCTGGTAGCTCTAAGAGGTCTTTCCTTTTCCTGCATTCAGGTTTAATCTGATCACTTGATCTTATCCACCTGATCTCTCAGCAGGGGTTACTGGAGATTGCAGAGGATGGTACTGTACAGACGCCCAAGTAAATGTTATCACCTTTCCTTCCCTCTCCTCCATTGCTTGCCCACACACACATCACCCAGAATATTTATTGTGCTGATGGTTCCTGCAGGCAAAAAAAAAGATTTATTCAATGGTATTAGCCTAAAGCTATCCAAAGTTGCCCCAAATAAGAAAGGAATGGTGTATTACAGCTTTAAGCAGGCTGCAGGGGGTATTTCTAAACCAAGATTTTACTTGCCAATTTTAGATCTCAGGAGGTAACAGATCATCTCGACATACGTGTTTTTCTAATCTTGGCTAGAGGTTATGAAACAACAACAAAATTCCTCTTACCTTTCGCAAATTTCATATAATGGACACGTTTCCTGGAAGATTTAGATTTTTCTTCAAGACTAAATTTCTTCTGGTCCCTTGGTGAAGGCTCTAAAAAAACACAGATTCCAGCTCCATTACAGAACTACTAACCCCGGAATTAAAACATCAGTGTACTTCACTTTCCATCTCAGAATTCAGTTTCAATAACATATCACAACATATTACTGAAGAAAGYATGGCAGGTCTTGCCCGAGACATGCTCCTGCACGATTTCTTGGGCACATTCTCTTCCCTTCCCATTTGCAACCTGATTCGAAAARGGAGATACAGGTACTTCAGGTCAAAGGCAAAGTCTGGTTTCAAATCCTTTCTATGGTGAGTAGAGACTAATCAGGTCAGGGTCTATTGTGCTGTTTGTTACAAAACCTTCTCATTGCCAGAGTCTGAGAAAGCTGTAAGAAACAGGCGATACAAAATAAAACAGTAAACACGAGTGGATAGAAAGAAGGATATCACAGAAAATAGGCCTTTCATTTCTAGCAGCACTCAAAGCGCCTCTGTCTGGATACAGTGCAATACACCTATGTAAGGAAATTAAACAGTGGCAGAGCTTTAGTGTCTCTGAGGCCAAATGGAACAAACTGCAATATCTGTATTATTTTTCTCTCTCCTACCTTCCAGAACAGAGGGGCGGTATCTAAACCACCCGCTTGTAATGATCCATGAGTCCCTCTCAGCTAAGTCCCAAATTTTGCTCAGGAGCTGCTTGGGAGAGCACTGCTTTTGCAGGCCAAAACCATGGGAAGGGCTGTTATTTACTTAACAGCAGAAAAAGAAAACAAGTTTTTGCACCTTGGCAGGCTAGTTTCTAGGCGCAGACAAGTTGTCTGCATGCACAGAGCCTGCTAAACTACAAGAGTGTCTCAGAAGGAAGCCCTGCTCTCCTACAAAAACTAGTTTACTGGTGCTGTCCTCCACAGGAATAAGCACCATGGGATTCTGTGCTCAGAGACTCCAGAAAAAGCTACAYGAGTGTGAGGTTTTTTCCTCCCAGAAGCTGCTGGGATGGGTAGGAAAAAAATCAACCCATACCTTAAGGGCTAAGTTGAGTCACCTTTTTCATAGGTTTCCACACCTGAATGCTCTGCAGACCAAGCTTTTTTGATGTTGGAATTAGAGATTTCCATGGTTTGATAGGTAGTGCCACTTGGTGATAGTCGCTGARCTAAAAAGGAAATATGTAGCCAGCAGTGGGAGAGTTTGTTGTCAAAAAGCAGCCTCAGACCTCTCTTTATATTTAAATGCTAAACCTTAATGAGAGGAAGAAGGATGAGCAAATCCAGCTTTAGASAGAATCTGCAGTGAGCTCGAAAAATCCCTGAAAAATAATAAAATAAGGGGGTCTATGGGGAAAATGCATCACAAGGTCAAATATCCTGACCTGAGATGAGGCACTTCTGAGTCTGCTCTCTGATCCACTTGTGCTGAAGGGAATATTATCCAGCAACGAATGGGTTTGTGCAGGGCTTCCTCCTGCACTTCTTTCTTACAGCAAAAGGGGCACCAGCACCGCCTTGTGCTGTAAGGAGGAATTTCACTACTGAGCATAGAAACGTGCCTGTGTTTGTAATTAAGAGAGATATCAGTCTCTTCTAGTGACTGTTAATACCCCCTGACAGGCTGAGCAAGAGCTGCACGTGTATTAACACACTTTTTAAGGCAAACCAATCACAGCAAGAAAGGTTTTTTGGCATTTCTATAGCAAGTCTCATGCAGATGAATCCTGAGCACCCTGTATTTTATACATGCTCATCCAGAGCACCCTGTATTTTATACATGGGAAGGGGACACAACCATCATGCTAGGAAAAGTGAAGAAAGTTAATGCTGTGTGGACCAAAGGTATTTGAAGGTTGGCACAGGAGCACCCGCAAGACCCTTCCTTCCCTATTTCTTATTACAATCCAACTCTGGCAACCACGCCAGTTATTTAAGAACAATGAAGTTTTTCAGCTGACTTTTAATGCAAATTGAAACTGGACAACAGCCAGCTACATAACATTTGATCTTGGAGCACAGATGCAGGCAGAGCTATCTGGATGAGTTTTGCCAGCTTCAACAATTGTCAAAAAAAAAATAAAAACAAGTTTCAGAGCAATGATCACCAGACTTCAATCTTACATTCAACCTGCACCCAAATATGTTCCCAGCGATGGAAATCTCTTGCCACAGTTGCTAAAAAGACTCTGCAAAAATAGCTCTSTGCAACTGAGGGAAATCTGGCTTTAGGGGGGCACTTTGCATGAGTGAAGATGACCGAGGGAACCCAGCACGGGTTTAGGAACAAGCTGGCCTTGCTCAAGGAACCTGCCTCTGTGCTGACTCACTGTGTCCTTGGGCAAGTCATTTCAGCTCTCTGCTCATCACTTTGCAGGTTTCCCACCAGCTACACCTAACTGATCTTCCCATAGCTCAAGTTGGAACTTGGGTAGGATTTATATATAAAGACAGACAGGAACTTTTGGAATTTCCCTACGAAAGGCTATTTTGCCTCTTCAGGATTTTAACTACAGCACCTAGCGCTGTGTGGCCTCGGATCAGGATTAGGAAATTGTGATTAGGRAATCAAGGGCACACAGATGACTAACACAGCAACTAAAAAACACTCTTTTAAGCTTTAGATCCAGAATTTTAATCCTGGTTTTCTGGATTGTCACCAAGTATCAGATTCAAGAAATTTCTTTTTCCTTAAAAAATAATTTGATCCTTCTTGTAACATACTTTCCTCTTCCTCCTCCTCTTTCTACTCTCCAACTCCTAGAAAACCTCCTGCTCTCCAGTTGCTGAATTCACTGGGGTGACAGGGCTGCCACTGGCAGCATTCGGACAGGCTGCTATGTCCAGACAGATCCCCTTGATTTAATGCCACTCCACAGAGGCTTGTTCGTGATTTAATGCCACTCCACAGAGGCTTGTTTAGATATACAGCTGGACTCTGAACTTGAGAGATGCTCCAGTCTACCTAAAGGAGGGAAGATAAACCAACTTTGACGTGTGCTAATCTTTCTGTAAGCCTACATTCACCAGTAAAGCCTTACTTCATTTTTTAAACAAAGTTCCAACTGCACATACACCAAGAGCTTTTTACAATTAGATGACTTTATAAATAGCTTTTTTGGGAAGCTCTGTAGTTTCCGCACTTGTGTGCTCTACAGCAAAACCAAAATGCATAACCCTGAGTCAAAAGCTAAAAAGAAGTTCTTTGAGAACGGAAAAGTAGGCATTTAAAAAACTACCAGAGCATGTGAGCTAGGTATGACAGTTCCTTAGCTAAAGTAAGGAAAATGTGTTGGAATGGTGAATGTTTTAGTTGTGAGCTTTCATATTCACTCTGGCTACCTTTAAAAATACCCTCGGCAATGGCACTATTTGCAGGCCAAAGAACTAGGTCACAGCTAGTTTTTTAAGACAAAAAGAATGGAAACCTTGCTAAGCTTCCAGCATCTGACTGAGCAAAGCAAGAACCTACCTGTTTCACCCTGTCCATGGCAATCATTCAGTTCAGCCAGAAGCTGGTTGAAGTCATCCTGATGAGCAATCCAGTTGTCCTGTAAATATCACACACACGAATGTAAGGCAGGAGCTCTCAGTCCTAACAGAAATTTTGGCAGTCCTAGCAGAAATTTCACTAAAAAGTGTATTAAGATTCTGCACCCTGAAAAGTAACTCAACTGCAGGTGCTCAACCCTTCTTGACGGAAAGAAATCTCTGGAGCTTCACAGGTGGTAACAGAGCAGTTCAATACAGCCACTCAGAAGTGCACAACTCATACAGGTTGTGTTTTGAGTGTCTTCAAACAATGTAGAGCTGCTGTTGGTTCTGCTTGCCTGGGTAAGATGTTTCCAACAGGAAACATTAATGTGATTTTTTGGCAACAACGTTACTTGAGATGTTGACTCAGAGTCCAGCACCTTTAGGAGCAAAATCTGCTTTAGGAGCAAATTCTTGTTTCGCTATATACTTAAGCTCCACTSAGGAAGGGGATTGTTCCAGAACACTGTTCCAAAACACTGTAACCTTCCCAAACAGCCACTCTCTCCCAAAACACCCAACAGAGCACAACTGAACAGRAAGTGGAGAGCTTTCTGTGGAGATGTTTACGCAGATGTGTGCTGCCACCAAGGGTGACAGCAGATTTCATGGGCATCCCACCACAAAGACTGTGCTTCAGATGAAACAGGAGCCACGTTTCTTACCTGGGTCTAGTGCTCACCTCGTGATTGATGGTTGCTCCTAACCCCAGCATGTTGTTTTTCACATGAACCTTGATATGTTCCGTATTCCCTTGCTCCTGAGCCCCAAGACCCTAAGGAGGATTTAAAGGCAAAAGTAAGGATTTTCCTGCAGTGACCAGGAAACCAAAGTGTTTGTACTCTAAGAAAATTTGTAATAAAATACAGCAATAAACCACAAGTTACTATTTATTTGCTTGCCTGCACCTTAATTCATTTTGCAGGCATTAGCACACATGAGCTATTAAGTATTTTTAATTTACTACTAAAGCCTGCAGCAAAGTATCATAAACACTAAAATAGCAACAACATTATGTAGTTGGGTGATTAATCAGGAAGCCACCTGACATTCCCAGGCAAAGTATTTACTATTTTAAAACAGAATACTATGTGTCCCTCACCAAAAATACAGCCAGCACTGGGAAGGCAGCTGCATAACAACAAACAGCTATAAGGGACAGGGTAACTCACAGTGCATAATGAAATTATGTTGGGGTATCTGTATGACTGGGGCATTTGTCTGAGTTCATAATGAATAGGGGACACCAAACCTCCTGCAACAGCTCTAGTTGTCTGTTGTAAAGGAAGATCCTGCAACSCACGCCAGGAAAATTGTCGTAAGGAAGACGAGGGGGGATGATGAACACAGAGTAACTCAGGGCCCTCCTTCCACACCCTGACCCAGTGTTTGTAAGGGCAAACACCCACCCTGAGATGAGCTGGCTGCCTACATTACAAAACAGACCATTTAGCAGTATTTTTTCCACTGGGGGTTACACTTCTGTTTTCACCTGACACAAACACACCTGTACATAGTGACAGAGATCTCAGCCACATACWTGAACAGTAGGGTCTGAAGCCTGGTGAAACCAAGGCCAGTTCCTTGATTTCAGCAGCCTTTGAATCGGGTTGCTTCTGAAATTAAAGGCAGGCGGAAGATTTGTGTATGYGTTAAATGTAAGCCAGTTTTCTGGCAACAGTGGGCTGCAATGAGAAAGCCAAGAGCAGGCTTATTTTTGCCAGTACATTAAAGCTCACAGTGACAGAGGTGAAAACATCCCAATTTTATTCCTTTCAAAAGGGGCAGGGCGAGGATTTGGAGGAGTTAAAGATACACCGTGGATTTTCTTTACACATTTCACTACTGATGGAAGGTTTGATTAACTCCCAGCTTTCCTGAGACACTTTTTTTGAAAGTTAAACTGCTTTTAAGGGAGAACTGAGATGTCTGCATTGACCTGGAGAGTTATTCTTAGCACCAAAGCCAATCACCTCATCCCTACAGCCCACAGGTATGGGTCAGAACTAGAAAAGAACTGAGGTCACACAGGACATCTCAGCCATTCAGGGAACACATTAGAAGTAACCTTTAAAAAATAGGTGGAAGATTAAAGCAGACTCTGGGGATGTTTTTAAAAACATAAAAGGCCAGGGAGAGAACAAGGCAATCTGAAGTCTTTTCTAATACCCACCTCGTTTTACGTCCRTGCCCCTGCTTTTACTGGGGGACATTATCTAGTTTGGGATGAGCAGGGATAGAAAGCAAGAAAGCCACAAGTTAGTGGGTATCTGTGTAAAAAACACAGCTATGAAAATTTCATATTGCTCAAGTTTTCTCTGTGTTCTCAGCAGATTTCAAGAAAAATTATTACATAGAAAGAATATCTGTTTTTAAACACTAAGTCTCCTTCAAGTTTTGCACTCAGGTTTCCATCTTCTAAACTGATTTTTTTAGTTCAGAAACGATTCAGAGACAACTTTTCAGCTAGAGAATCGTCCTTTAAGTCATACCTTTCCTTTGGACCAGCCCATCTTCTCCAGCATCTTCTGGCCAAACTTAGATTCATCTTTACTCCAGGCACTGTTTCGTGGATCCACAGACCACTTCTGCTTCCTACGGGCTACAACATGAAGGAAAAATTAGGCTCAATTCACACTGTGCTTACAGACCCAATGTGTTTTGGGGGGGTTATTTTAACCAAATTATATATGGGTAAAAAAAAAAACCTCCAGTGAAAATTATTACTATAAATGTGAATTAAATAATGTCACTATAAATAGCAATGGAATTTGTCATCCCTGAGGATGAGCTGCACTTTAGCRAAGTGCTTTAAGGATTGTTGTTTAGAAGCACAGACCTAAGATCCACTTTATTTCACATCTGGCTGCAAAAATATATAAGAAGAGATGTCAAAGCTGCTTTTCTTTAATTCTGACCCGTGTCTACTGCTCATCCTTCCTGTTGCCCAGAATAAGAAGAACTAATATCTGCCTTCATATCAAAAAGCCAAATTCCAAGTAGAACCTAAGCACAGGTATGGAATGACATAAGAGATATCTACTGAATTTCAGATCTTGAATTTGCCACAAAATGGCTTATTCAGGAACCCAATACTGCAGATGTCTGAGATYCTCAGGATCTGGGCTCTTCTGTCCTATATTTATAGCTGAATACCTGCAACGTCCCATATCTATATATGTATGTATGCTTTTATCATTAAGAATAACATCACTGAAATTAATGAAGTTAGTACAGTTGACCRGTCACATTAAGTGTGCACCTAAACATACAGAGAACTGAAATAAAACAAAATGATAGGAACGAGAGACAGAAGGATTATAAACTTCATTAAACAAGATGGGAAACGGATGATCAATATTAATATTAACTAAAGGCCATAAAAAGTCAGTAGGAACCCAAGTCCACCAAGATGTTTTCACTATAATCAGGAATTCATATTTCCTTAAAATGCAGTCCTTGCAATCTGGACCAGAGGGAGAGAATATTATAGGGACGTTCAATTTATTTTTAGCCTCCTCTTGGTTCTTTCTGAAATAAAAACTAATAKGACTAAAAAGCGTGGTTGTGTTTTGTTTGTTAAAAAAAAGAGTCTTCTGAAGCTTCAAAGCTCAAAAGAGGCTTRGTAGAGCAATCACTTAAAAAGTAAGAGTCCGATAAAGAATTCCACAAAACATCAAACAGTTTCTGAAAAGGATTTTACAGCCTAAATGACTCAGTGCTGCCCAGGAATCCACACGGACCTCATTTGGTCCACTTCTCCGCAGGCAAATGATTGACCTATTTCCATGAAGCAGCCCTCTGAGAAGCAAATATCCACTACAAACCCATCACTCATTTAGTGTGGATTTGAGAGAGTCAGCGAGGAATTTGGGGCAATCAGCTTCACATTCCCTACCATCCTCCCTCACCAGGTGATTTCTATACAGGTGATTTCTAGGGAGCAAGTCACTAAATCCAACTTGCCCTTCCCTGTCCTAACCCACCTTTAACTCCACGCTCAGTTCGTTCATCTACTCTTTTGCTCCTGTAAATAGTTCCCCATACGATGGGGTTATAAATCTCCCAAATTAAAGCCAATGCAATCCACACATTTGCAGTGTACAGTGTGTATCCAAGGATTTGCCTATGCAGAAGATGTAATCCATGTCAACTGAATGTGTGAATTCAAATTAATTTCCAAATTGAACTATTTGATGCAGTTCACCTAATCCACTTCAGAAGTTAATTTTGATTAATTTTCCTGAATATCCCTCTGTAGACAAGCCCCAAGACATATTACTCCCAGAAAAAACTCTGGTAACAAAACATAAGGAGACTTATTAACGTAGCGATTTCTCAAGCTTGAATTTTTAAGAGACTTTCTCCTTCCTAGCACTTTTAATCCATGTACTTCAAAACTGTAACTACTGTAAGTGGATTATTCCTCACATTTCTGTCAAATTAAGACAGTCTTATTTTCAAATATCACAAGTTACTTGCAGGAAACTTAGGAAAGTTGCTTGTTTTTATCAAAGGTATCTAAGAAAAATCAGGAATCTCATATCATATATAGCACTTATAAAATCATCTACTCTCTCCAAACAAATAATAAAAAAGGTATTTAGCCCACAATTCTTCTGTTTGCTCGCACAGATCTTTTAAAAAACCACTGTCTTCCAGCTACAAATCCAGCTCTAAATTAAATGTCAATGTTCTGGGCTAATGCTAGATGTATTAATGAATTTTGGGCAAGCAGCACCATCCAGTGGAGAAAAGTGTCATTACTTTGGAGATTTCTGTTTCTCTGAACACAGAAGCCTCACTGTTTGGAAAAGAACATTTACTAAAATATTTTGCCCAGATAAATATGTGCACCAGGCATAAAATTAGAGTATGATTTTCTGAAAGTAAACTAGGAGGCATTCAAGAGCTCGGCTTAGGTATTCCAGTCCCCAAATTGACCAAATTCTCTGTTTTCATTAACAAATCCTTCTGGCCCAGTACCCCACCTAACGTTGCCCCTGTCTTAGAGCTTCTCAGATTACGGGTTCCCACCCAAACCAGGGCTGTGACCCTACATTTAGGGAAGGGAAATAAYAAATTGGCTGAATTTGCCTTCAGTGACCAGGAAAAGGAGACACATTCCACCGACAAGAAGTCTATTCCAAGCTAGTAAAGCCAATAAATAGATAACAATTTAAATTTTTCCTCCTAAATGWGCGCACCACAGAAGGGTGATTAYCAAAGWTTATTAAAACCTGAGTTAAAAATARGTGAAAAGCTAACCTTTTGGTCTTTTCTGCTAACTACATGTTTTTTAAACCCAGACTAGATAAGCACGCAGTGAATGGGTTTCTCCATTCAGTTGGGTTTCTTGATTGGGTTGAGATTGGGTTTCTCGAGGTTTTGATCCCCCTGTTCTGATCATTTCAGCAGTTAATTTAACCAAGGGCACCAACAACCACACACAAATTCCCTAGGTCTGTTAGTTAAAACCTACTCAAATTTGAGCAGGGGAGATGGGCTAGATCATCTCTACAAGTCCGTTCTAAGCTCARCCGTTTTATGGGTCTGCAATAAACGCAGAATCCTGTAACTATTCAGGGAAAAATACCTGATCTCACTTGTGCTCTTTATTAGCAACGTGAAATATGGCATGTGGATATTGAGGGTGTCTTTTTAGGGAAAAAAAAAAAAGTAGTTTAGAGAAATGGCTTTTGGGTTTAGGAGACGTGCAAATGCTTTGCGTTTCTGGGAGCAATAAGGAAATAATCGCTCCTGGTTTGGGCCAATTCCACGAGATTTCTGGGTACCAAACGCATGAAGATCTTGGATGYGGGATTCACACTGGATTTTATTATCCAGGTAGCTCCTGTCCCAGGGGAAAACAGGATCCCCGAGGCCCAGGCGGCTCCAGGAAAACCCTGGGAGACCCGAGGAAGGGCTCTCCTGGGATCCACTGCGCTGAGACTCCTCCCAAACCCTCCATTTTCTGCTCGCTGCCCCCCCAAAGCGGAAATTGGCCCCGATTCACCCCAAAATCCCCTCATAGGCCCGGCTCGGGGCGCGATGCGCCCTTTCCCCCCCCCCGCCGCC